AATAGTTAATTCATTTTAAAGGTACATGTAGCATCAGTAAATTATGTACAGTACATATGTGAATACCAGCAATTCTTATTATCAGTGACAAGTAAACATGACTAGATATATGACAGATGGTAATGATATCTCCAATATAATTTGTTTTCCCAATGGTAACACTAGTTTTACAATATAATGTAACAGTCGTTAACCACAAATATCAATATTAGGCTGACCTCAGTTTGCGAAACTGGCACTAGAAATATAAAGTTTATATAAACCAACTGAAAGATCAATCAATTTCAAAGACCAAACTTATATAATCACAGATAATTTCATAGACATCAATCAGTGAGGCAGATATAGCTAAGGCATATTGGCACGGTACATGTACATGTATGTAAGGTGTGGTCAATTATTACAACTGTTTATTATTAACAAATAAATATTGTAACAGTTAATTCAATATTAAGGCAGATTTACAATATTAGGCTAGTCCTGATGTTACGTTGATGCAGGAGTTGAATTTGGTTCAACTCCAAATTGAACCAAAAAAAAAGGTTCAAAAAAAAAAAAAAAAAAAAAAGGTTGGAAAAGGTCAAATCACTCACGCTTTTGATTAAAAATTGACGGCACGTTGGCCTAGCGTCATATTGTAAATCCGCCTCTAAGATAGATACATGTACATACATGTACACCTTATCAGTGAACAACTGACAAACCACACATGTACTTGTAAATGTACATATGTTACATGTATGAGGACAAGTAGTTTTGTATGCTTTTTACATGTATCTCCAGTGAATACACTACACGTCTTAAAATTGTATTCCCAGTCCCACAAGAATAGTGAATCAAAGTCCAAGCAGCACCTGGCTATATCCTGGCATATCACTCCTGAGCATAAGATCACTCACTGACCTCACGTTCAGTACATACAGCTGGCAACAAGTACAAAGATTCAAAGGATAGCTGATCCTTGCATCAAAATGATCAAAGAAACATGAGAAGCAGTGATAGACACCACATGTGCACTAACAGACATTACACAGACTGACAGATGACAATAGCTTGCAGGCATCAATAAGGCGTGGTCAATAAGAAGGTGTGGTCAAATGAAACTGTTAATAATATTATTTTTAAATTATATTTATTGAATTAGTTCAAAATCATTAAACTATAATACAATTCGCTTATGCTTTCCCAGAAAAATTATAAAATTGATAGTGGCTACATCATTAAGTTAGTACCGTGTACCATGAAATTTATGCAACAAATTTTTTTGCAAATTTCGTGATTTTTGCTTTGTTTCAAAAATTAAAATAGCAAAATTCTGCAGCTCCATTGCCACATGATGCAGTTTGCAAGCTATTCGCAAAAATTTATTTTATAAAATTTTAGAATTACAGGATTCGCAAAAATATTTTTTGTTGCAAAAATTTCATAGTATACAGTAGGTTAATAATCTTTTATTCTCAGAGTTAAAAACTACTATATACCGTACGGTTGGTAATA